GGGGGGTGGTGGTGGAGAAAATTGAAGACGAGATGCTTTGAATTTGCTCCCAGGGTTCGCCCGAAGCAATGTGAATGAAGCATAATATTGATTTCGCTTCCGTAAAGAGCAACAGGAGAATACCTTCGTTTAAATACGTCACCGAGTGACATTGTGCTCAATGAGAGAGCCTCGATTGTTCTTCACTGTGCATTAAGGTTAAAGCTATTGATTCATTTTCTTTAATGAAAACTGAACTGCTCATTTTTAAAAGGTTATTACATGACCATACGGCGTCGTGTGCATTGAATAGGTTTTGTTGAATAGGTTTGTCCCAGCAAGAGACCATCCAAGACGATGCGAGTGGAGTTTGTCTGTTTGCTTTCCCCCAAAGAACGGCTGTTAACAAAAGGTCATTTCAATTCTTAAGGGTGGAGTCTGGTACGGCACGAGAATAGTTATGTTCCTCTGATTTTTGTGTTTTTTCCTCTTACTAGTGAGCTGAATTTTGTCAAACATTTTTTCTTTTCTTTTTGTTTTGTTTTGTTTTTTTTTTTTTTCTTTTTTTGGGGGGGGGTGTGAGGGGTGTAAATCTTAAAAGAACCGGAAGCGACTTGTTTTATTTGAAGACTTACATTTTAAGCGAGTGTACGGTAATACACGATGTATTTATTCTGTCTTTTCTTAGCTGGGAGAAGGTTAAGTTTATCGATTTTATGCTCTTACAAAAGCATCCTTTTCAAGACCGTTCTCTTGTTACTGTTGTTTGTTTGTTTGCTTTACGACAGCGAAAAATGCAACTAGTGACTAGCATAAAACAGCTCAAAATACAAGCTTTCCACGTGTATGGGTTTTTTAAGACAGACTGTCGGCTGGTGATGTCGAGTGGATTTGTTGGGGTATGTCTGTTGATTTTTTAAAAAATTGTTAAGAGGCACAGATAAATTATTCTTTGTATTTTGTTTCTCAATGAGAAAAAAACTCTTAGTCTTAGTGAGTTCTCTGGAATTTTATTGTCATAGCGCCCACATCAAACGTTCCCGCCGCCGTTCCACGGCAGTACATTAGTGACAAGCAGACGACAATTTTATTCCGACGATCGGTTCCGCTCAAGGGGGCGTTCATTGAGTCGCTAGCTAGGACTGCTAAGAGCCACAGAACAGACTGCCGCACGATCAAAATAGGCGCACGCGAGTCTCAGCAGAGGCGGGAGCAGAGGCGAGCGGCAGCAGGCGGCAGCGGCACTAATGAACGCACCACCGCCAGTGAACGAACGCACCGCACCGTGCGCGCACACAACCACTGAACGCACCGTGCGCACACGGCTAGTGAACGCCACAGCCACCGTACGACGACGTGCGGTGACAGATGAGAGACCAGGAGTGGCGAAGTGAGAATAATAAAGGAAAAGACAAGGAACTTCTCTTCTGATGGCTTAAAGCGCAAAAAGGAGGAGAACAAAAACACAAAAACAAAAGCGGATCGAAAACGTGCCAGTTTTTGTTTTGTTTTGATTTTTTTTCACGCACGTAATCTTTCTTCCTGGCCGATTTGCTTGATGATTTCCAACTACAGATTTTCGTGAGAGTGAAAGAAAGAGAGAATAATTATTATTCTTTTGTAAAAGTGGAGGAGCAGGAGGTGGCGAGGAATGATAGGTATCTTGTTTGTTCTTCCAAGAAAAAGTCAGTGCCCCGTGGGGAAGGAAAAAGGAGGTGAAGAATCCAACCGCCGTGTTGAGAATTTTCCTTGAGTGCCGTGGTTTTTTTGTGATGAGCAGCACCAACGTGTTTGTGCGTGTGTGTTTGTGTGTGTGCGAGCGCGACCCTTAATTTGCCGCCTGGCGTAATCTAATCATGTAATCACACCACACGGAATTGTTGTGTAAGGGTTTGGGGTTTTTTTCAAGTGCCAATCTGGAATATCACCACTGGATTCGGTCTTTCTCGTACGGATTATTATTACTAACCATCAGTGCGCTCCATGATATGGAAGTTCTTTATCAGCATCGTCGCCGTTATCACCGTTATCATCATCACCATCATCATCATCATCATCATCATCATCATCATCATCATCATCATCATCATCA